AAAGCATGCAAGTAGCAACTGCAATATGAAAAGCATGTGTTAAATCAGTTACTTAGCATCACATAAGAACATGGCAAAAACACAGATACAATTCTTTCCTTCAGAGTAGCATTGGGCTACCTAAGTCACAAGCCAACCTTTTCATTGTGGTATGTTCCGAGTTATTCATAACATGCCTCTTTATGAAGCAAAGGTCAGTCAAAGAATCTGTTAAGGTGCTGTCGCCTTCAACGTATAACCTCAAGAGTTGCCTGCTCTGTATGTGGAAATTGGTGGGATTGTTGTAAGGACCTATACTTGACTTTTTAATTGTAGGAAATATGAAGAAAAGGGTTGAGTTATGGTGGCATAGGAACTGTCCAGTCTAGTGAACATCAGCTTTCCTGAATTCTTCGTTGATATATTACAGTTTAGGCAGTCTAGTAATTATTTGCTCTTAATATAGGTGTATTTCCTGTTGCAATTTTATGCAGTTTCCTCTAGGATTGGTGCCTGTTCTGTTGTTCTTTTAAATTAAATAAAAGATTGATTTTATGTTGACTGTGTTGGATATTTTAACTGTCAGACCTCTACTCTTTCCTGCGCCCCATACTTATATGTGCTCCTGACATTTGTGAAAGGAAGGTAGGACTGCAGACAGGAGAAAGCCAGACTGCTCTGCTGAGTCGCATGATCCGCAAGTTCATGATTTGGACCGATACTGTAGAGCATACCTACCGCAGACTGGCCGTTGGCTTCTTGGTCATGAGTCCTCATCCTCTGCAAATTAATCTTTACAACATCTTTGCTTCCAGCTAGAGCCAAGATAAGTTTACAGAATATTAGCACTTAAAACTGTCATGTTGAATGTCTTGAGATGGTGACATCACTGAGCCAGCAATGTGGCTTTGTAAGATTTGTTCAGCTAATGCTTTTCTCCAGTTCTGCATTCATAATTTTTGAAAAAAATAAAAAGTGGGTTAACTTTCTCTGAACAGAATTGTTCATAAGGCTTACCACACTGGTTTTACTTTGCTGTGTAGATTTTAAACAAAAGATAACACATAGTAAGTACTGACTTCTTTCTTCTAATGCCTGCTACCTTACAAATCTGCTTTATGCAAAAGCTCAGAGTTATTCTTTCATATCTTCATAAAGAGGATAGAAAAGTAATGCTAGATACATTCTCCCCCCGCCTTGAGCTGTGAGTGTGTTTTTTTAAGAGCTCTCATGCAGATGACTGCCTCTTGACGTATGTGAACTCTGAAGTATGTTTACTGGTGAAATAATATAACCCAAATGTCTTTGAACGATCAGATCAGTAATGAATTGCATATCTCATGACACTGGCAAGGTGAGAAATCAGTGCCAAGCTGTGAAGAAGTTTTGTATTTTTAGTTAATTTTAGTCTCTCCATTTAAATGCATAATACTGCATTTCTTTTGGCCAGAACTTGGATAGTTGGAATTCCTATTGAACTGTGTGTTCTTCCTTCTAAGAGTTGCAGGTGGCGAGGAGAAGAGGGAGTAAGTGCCACTAAGTTTTAAAAGCTCTATAGTATTTTGAAAATCCTGATCTTAGTAGTTTGCATTTGACTATGACTTATGCAAAATGCAGCAATCTAAATGTGGTATTTTTTTGAAACAAGATCACTTTTCTAACTCAGTGTTTTGAGGCAACCCTCAATAGTGTTTGAATTGCCATTTGAGATACGAAGCAATAATGTATTTCATGTTTCATTGCTTGCAGAGTAGGAAGAAGCTGTGCTTCAGGAATTTGACTTCATCCCCCAAAACATCTGATGCTTATCTTGCATGTGAATTTTTGTAAAAATTATATGGATATACACTTCAAATATATTTAATGTAGCTATCAAATTTTATCTTATAAACGTGTATCATATGTACAACATTTTATTTATTTATTTATAAGCACATACATTAAAGTGTAAACAATATTTTCATTTATTACTTTTCAGGGGATATAATTTTCAATGCTCATTATCCTGACCTGCCACCAGATTTTATCTTCGGTGAGGATGCTGAATTTTTGCCAGATCCTTCTGCCTTGCATGTAAGTACTTTGCTGTTTGTGAACCTTACACCATGCAAAGAGACTTGGCTTTTTTAGAATAGCTTCAGCAACAGGAGTTTGTTAACAATGCAGAATAAATTAAAAAAAAAAAAAAACACCAACCTTTTATCTCACTGTTAGGTGAATATAAACACTTTGTCTTCTAATGTGATTTAAAGATGAACCCATAAATGTAGGGGTTGGGTTTTTTTTCAATATTTTAATCGAGACAAGATGACATTTACAATAACTATTCAGAGTATCTTTAAAAAGGTGTCTTTTTAATATCTGACCATCTTAAAAGATCTATTTCAGCAAAAAGGATTGCTCAATTGTGTCTTTAAAAAGCATTCAGTTCCAGACAAAGTAGCATGATGTTGTGATGTGAATTTTTGTTTTCCCATGAGGAACGATAAAACCAGGTTGTATGCTGTTGAAACCACTGTCAGAGAGAGATATCTGCTCATATCATTGTGTTTCCATAAAGACAAAGAAATGTCCTTTTAAAAGGTGGGAGGGTCACAAATTAACTTAATGAGAAAATATTTTTACACAGTCTTATTACTATGGAAGAAGAAACACCACAAGCTGAAAACAAGCTTTTTGTTCACTATTCAAAATTAGCCTCAAGTAGTAAAGCCATGTTTGAAGCTAACAGTGATTATGCTTTTAAAATACTTCTCCCTCTCAGAAATTACTAGTAGTTACTAAAGCCATATAAAGGTATTTTGAAACCCAGAGTGTTTTTCTCTTTTACTCTCCCCCTCAATTTGGGCTCCATTCTTCTGCCTTTGCAGACCTGCAGCCTTGTTTCTGGGTTGACAGTATCGTTTGTCAATAGGGTTTGGGCATATTTTTTCCAATAAGTGTCCAGTGCCTGTGGTTATGGTGCAGAGTTTAGTGGCTGTGTTGGAAAAGTATGCCTTTGCCAAAGAGCTCTACTGTAATTTCTGCTCAGTGACCCACAGAGTAGGTCATGATCTCATTTCTTTTTTTCTCAAAGTTTTCAGCTTTTATTAGAAATGTGACCCCAAAAGCAACTGACACTTTAAATATATTTTATTTTATAGGCCATCTGTAAGGGTATATGGGAATCACTGGCCAAAACAGGCAACTGGGAAATGTCTTCTAATTAAACTTCTCCAGACATAGCATCTTGCTAGGGGAGAGGCTCTTTGCATAGTCCTCTCCTGCAGCCTCTCTTGTGCTTTATCAGCACATCTCCAGTGCAGCTGGGGGATTTCATCATGTATGGGAGCTCCCCAAAATAAGTCAGAGGCTGTCATGCTGTCCTCTTCAGTTCTGGGGTACAGGTGTCATGGGGGAAGAACATGAGGCAGTGGCCACAGAACTGAACATGTCCTTCACATGTGATGTGACAGATGTGTTGTTTTTTGGTTTTAGCTTTATTCACTTCATATTGTTATGTTGAGAAACTACACCATCTCAAAAGAGTTGGTTTTAATAATTATTTTTAGCATACCTAACAGAATTTTTAAAAGGTGAATGTCTCATTTCTTTGCTTCCCTGCTTCCCCCTTTCCTGTTAAGCTCACAGACTCCTTTGGGAAAGAGGCATGGTGCTGCTGAATAGCTATTTTGTTAGGCTCATTTACAGAAAAGGTTTTACTTTATATGACAATTCTAGAATTGTTTTAACACTCTTTTATTTACCGGTTCTCCTATTTTCTCCTTTTTCTGTTTTATTGTTTCACAATCTTACAACCTCCTGAGAAGTACTCAAAGTAGCAACCACTTTCTGCAGTTGATATTAAAGGAAGAGGAGCACTCCTTAATGTGCTGGAAAGCTGAAATTAGTAACAGTAACAGTAACAAATGAGATATTAAATAAAGATAATTTGAGGCATCTTGGAGAAATGCTGTTCAGATGGAGTGTGATATGGTGCCATATTTCTCATGTGAAAAGAAGTCACTAGCACTAGTGATACACAGAGAAACCTGCAAGGATAAAAACACCCTTAGTTTTCTTTCTTTCTTTCTTTCTTACATTGTTCGTTAATGATACTTCTTTTGGGAGCATTGCTTTTCTTCTGCCTAAGCACAGAACAAACTTCCCATCCTCTTCATTGGAAAGCGGCTTGAAGAGCCATTTGCTCCTTGATGCATAATGAGATATTAATCAGCCTATTTGAAAACTAATTAGAAACAAATCAAAAAAGAAATTTGCAAGCCAACAGCTTTCTTTTGGTCATTATGCCTTGCTATAGTATTCAGTATGTAAATGTAACCTTTTTTGATAAGGTCCTTGGTCATTCTCCTGCAGTCCATCCTGATGTTATCAGAGCGTGTTATCTCCACCTTGCAGCTATGGTCTATATGATGTATTTTTGCTTTTTCTTTTCACCTTTTAATGTTCAACATGGTTTGCAGAGTTTTTCTTCAGAATGTTACATTAACAATAACTTGTTTATTATGCTAAGTATTTGAATAACTCCCTTTTTTTCACAAATCTCAGAGCTGTTTAATGAAGATAATTTTAATCGAATTCTAAGATATTGGCAGAATTTTTTAATGTGTTAACATATCTTTCTGACTATAAGTAAAAATAGATTAGTACGTTGAGCATAATGTAATGCTCTTAATCTTGATCAATCTTCAAATACTCTTGATGCAACAGTTCCTGGCAATCGAAACAGAATCTACCATTCACAAAAGCATGTAGATAGTATTAAATGAGGAGTGCAGTCTCTAAGTAAGTAATATGTGCTGCTGGATCTGTGGGAATTCTGACATTGAGCTTTCCTGCGCTGCTCTCAACTGAGTGTCTTGTTTTGAAAGCAGAGAAGTCATCACATGCTGTTACATGGCTTGAGTCAGGCATTATGCTTAGCTTGAAATGAGAACCAGGTACTCCAGATTCCTCAAGCTTGTGTGGCTGTAATAGAGGCTGTCAGTAGACCTCCCTGAAGACATTTGAAAGGCTGTGCTGCAGATCGCTTCAGTCACTCTTTCAGTTTCCATGGCCGTGGGCAGACCTTCAAGTTAGGTTTTCATCTGAGCACGGTAACAGGTGTTCAGTTAAGCAGCTGTTAGCCAGACAGCTAAAACAAGACTCCAAAAAGACTGCATTTTAAAAAGTAGATGCTGTAGGTGAAGACTTCATACTATCTTTTTTCCCCAAAGAATTCCTAAATGGTTGGGCCTGTGTTTCAGCAGTGGGGTGATATGTTGAGCACTCTTGTTGTTATAAGCAGAGCTGATCAACTGCTTTGTTAAATTGGTATTGCAGTTGCAGAATCAAGTAAAAAATGCTCGTTGAAACTCAGCTTTGCTTCTATGTCTTGCACAAATATTAAATCACTTTGGTTTGAAACTCAGGTTGAGTCTCAAGTTCAGCACTGCAAAATACATGCTTCACTAAATGCCCTACCAGAATTGGTTGCTGTGCTGGTTGCAGGGTCTCATTGCATGTGTTCTGATCTTCTAGAATGATGTACAGATTGAGGAGGGACTCAACAGAGGGGCAACTGTTCCTTTTATTTTGGTTTGTCATACAGTTTTAATTACAATCAGAGGGCTAAATTCTTTAGGTTGGTGATGCTATTCATGCTCAAAGCATTATTAGAAATAAACATATTTATTTTCATTAAAAATGTCCTCACCTATCATATGCATTTGATACTTGTGTGTATAGTATGCGTAAATAAAATCAGCTTCTCAGAATGTAAATAGAAAAGTTCTTCCCTGCTCTAGTGTTTATTCATTTTGGATGACAAGTATTAGAAATGTATTTTAAAAACAACCTATGATTCACTCTGTTCTGATTAAAAATTCAGTTGGCACAAAACAAGATTAGTGATTGTGTACGGATGAGATTAATTTGGAGCTCATTACAATGACGCCAGTTTGAGTAAGAAGAATTGTTTGTTATGTTAGCCTAGTTGATTGTTAATGTGAGCCAGGTAATAACTGAAGTGCTTATGCAAAAAGTTAACCCATTTTTCCTGTGATTTTGAAGTATATTGTGTTTGGCAAAGAGGAGACAATAGCGGTATATGTAAGCTAACTGTCAGTTTAAGGATTTGAGATTTTTAGCATCCTACTGCAGGTCTCCAGCTAGTCTCCCCAGAACTATTCTGCCTACCCATTGCTATCAAAAAGGCTCTGTTAGCCTTAGTGGGGATGGAGGCAAGAGGACATTAGCATTTCCTGAAACCCAGTAAGTGTTGAATGTGTCCTTGTGGGCTAGTATATATGGGAGTACTTAGAGCTGCATTCATGTGGAAGGAAGGCTTTGCCATCACAGAACTTCAGAGCATGGGCCACTGCAGTTCTCATGCCAGTACGTAGTGTTGGGAAGACTGTTTCCCCTTGTCTAATTGTTAATACTGAGTACAGACTTCAGTCATTGTGGAGTTGATTCAGCCAATTGTGCTACTCAGGTGTATTGGCTGTCATGCTCTATACCTTGTGTACAGCAATGCTTATTTTAATTTCTTGTATCTGTAGTTATTAGACTCTGTATTTATAATTTGGCTGTATAATGTCATGAAGGCTGTATTGTTTTCTGTAGCTGTGTTCAAAATCTTAATTATTATTACTGTTGACTTACTAAGTTAGCTTTTAATGGGTAGTGAAGAGATCCTTTAAATATCTCCCTCTTCCATAATTGTTCTTCATTTACTATCAGGTGCATGAGACAGATGTTTAACAGCATCGATTGTTCCTGTGCTCACAGTAGCTACAAAAAAAGCCCAAACACCCCTTATATTACCTAATGCCATTTGAACTATTTTGTACTAAAAAGTTTGGCTGTTGTATTGTTGGCAAAGATGCAGGTGTTACGAGTTTTAGTATGAAAGCCCCTACATAAGGTCAATGAGCACAATGGCTTTCAGAATATGACTTTAAAGTTGTGGCGGTGGGTTCTCTGGGAAATGTGTGGGTAAGTTTGAACTATTTTAGCATTACTATCTCTTCTGCTTGCTCTATTTGGGATGCCAGCAGCAGATTTCATTCTTGGACCCCTAACCTACCACT